ATTTCAAGTGAACATACCTTCAAAGTAAGTGCTATTAGCCAGCCATTGTTCCTCTAGAAGCATGAAAAACGGAGCCCTATTGGTCGTGTAGTGTCGTTCGAAATTGGAGTCAAACAGTTCGAAGGCTTCTTGGGCTGTATCAGGCGGGGTACAGGAGTCGATGAAATTACACAACTGCCCGTCTTTGCTGTTGTAATCAACCAGTGGTACTTCCCACAGTGCAGGAAAGGAATCTAAGATTAACAGAGCAGTCTGAAGAAATCTCCTGAACAAATTTTCAAATATTGAACGATATTCCATACAGAAACAAAAATCGGTTTCAGTTTTATCATGTTAAACCATCTTCACTGGAAATTTAACAGTGCAGTCTAAAAATGATCAAAAGATGAGAAAAAGCTCATTACATAATAATAACAAGATGGTTTGATAAATAATGATAACTGGAACATGTTTATCTTTTCTCTATAGCTATGGAATGTCGCGCTGTACTTCTTGGAACATGTGTTATCAAACAAACTCCCATCAAGAATACGTTAAGAAAAAACAGACAGTCAGAAATGCAAAGAAGGGTGTATAACAGTCAGTGATCTAAATTGTTAGTCAAATCATCGCCTCATGATCACAGCTACAGTCTTAACTTAGGCAAACTGAAATCGAAACGTTATGATCCAATTTAGAACCCTGCAGGGAGCAGTGAACTGTAACCTCGTTCCCAGGATCTCTCATCTTCCCGCCCTCCTCCACGTTCAGGGACCCTGGGAACGAGGCTGAGTGAACTGCGCTGGTTTATAGTTACAGAGCTGCGACAGAGACGCGTTAAAATTACATCACCAAAGCCCTACCCCCTCAACCGCATTGCCAGAGCTTTACACTTCCGCGCACAGAAGATGAAATAAACTTACCAGTCGGGCATGGCTCGATCACACAATCTTGAGTTGATCGATATTCCAGAGTGTAAGGCCAGAGCGGAGGATCCCTGTACATCTGAGTGGGCATTGAAGACTCGTACAAAAAGAGTGCGTCTTGCAGAGTTTTGAACTCTGTGTTTCCACCAACCTGGATGTATGGCGCCCGGTAGCCCTTCACATCTTCAGGATTCACGTAACCCCATTTTCTTAGAATCTCTCTCATCCCCACTATCTCCTCAGTGAGTTGTTTTTCTGTCGCGGTTTTCCACCAACTGATGGGAAGTCGGCGGGAAATGGAGTTATCCGCGATTTCGTGGCGCTGATTGTACAGTGCTTGAACCATGCAGTAGTTCGTGTACTCGTGCTTAACGAAGAACGTCGCGGAGATGTTGCAATCATTTGGATTTTTGAACTGGCCGTTGAATAACTCTTCGTATAGAGAGAACCCGCCGCTGTTAACGGCTGCATCAAACGTGATCATTACAATCTGAGGGATCGAGGATGCGGACAAATTCCCAGGGATTTTGGTGCCACTGCAAAAACAGTCGGGAAGCTTACACTTATCCGGGTTGCACGGCTTTGCTGGGTTTCCATTGGCTTGTGAAAACAGCACAGCAAGAAGAATAGCAAATGAGGTAGCAGTTTTAGCAGGAGACATCATTGCACTTTGATAATTTTCTTGAGAAGACTCAAATTGTTGCACTCTTCGAGCTAATCTGCAACCACTTAAGCTGCGTGGAGGCCTGTCTTGGCTTAAAAGTGACAATTTTGTACGTCATCTATTATTTTTAGCTACCATATCTCATGCACTCACTCGGCACGGCCTTAACCCCTATACGACCTATAAATACGGATAATATAAAGTGCAATGCTACAAATTTGGTAACATTACAGCTTGAGAAAAATTTAACTGACTAATACTGCCATAGGTAATTTATAAACCTACTGTTGCATCACAAAAAATATATATATATATATAAAAATGTGGGAGAATACATATTAAGACCACTAAGCAGTTTTCCCTTGGTATTATAAACACCCTAGCCATGAACAGTTCTGTGTGCAGGCCTTTTGTTATTCTGCGCAACCATAGTTAATAGAGAGAAATGGTTAGAAAGGCTGGTAAACATCAAAGGAGCAAATAAACAGACTAACATTTATGTTGGAATGCTCTTGACTCTGCACATCTTTTGTTTTATGCTCATAGACTATACATGCTTGAACTACATAGTCGCAATGCTTCTATTGGTTAGTTGTATGAGCACACGTAACCACCTTTTTTACCGTAGAATTCCGAAAGTAACGGCCCCCGTTACTTTCAGATTTAGCAGGCAAAAGTCATCAGTTGCAAAATAGAAACAAAAACATACAACCAGGAGCTTAAGAAAAGCATACAACAACGCATTTTGGCAAGTTTCCTAACCGCTTCCCTCAATTAGCTATTGTGCTACAATTTATACAGGTGCCAACATCTCCTATCACTGCCAAGATTCTTTAGTTTCTTAGAAAGATGTTGCAATCATTTGGAGATTTGTGTCTGTCAGTCTGTCTGTCAGGAGCAAAAATAAAACTCCTTCCGGTCACTCAGTTATCTCGTGATCGGGCTACGAAGAAAATCTTTTTTCCCTTCATTTTAGCTCTGTCATTCTGGAATTCCATTTACATGAATGGCAGGAGGATAACTGAAGTAAAGTCAAATTATGTTACCCCTGAAAAATGTCTCATTACGATAAAAAAGAGAAAAAATAAGAGGAAAGTCAGCAGGAAATTTACATCTCAAATAGTCTGCAAATTAGGCCTTTACACCTCCCGGGTAATTTTATACCACAATTTCCCACCTCCAGGGGTACAAGGAAAAGGGAAGCGGTCGGGGAAAATTCCCAGAAGAATCACATGAGTTAAGCCTGGGTGCTTGCTGCTGCGAAATCACGGAAATAGAATAGCGCTTGACGTCACGCCAGGGAATCGGGTTATTTCCCCGGAAATTGATTCTCATTAGATATAAATCAAGCGTGACCTCCCATTCGCTTGCATTTCAGGTCTTCGGTTCTTAGCGAAACAGAGCCATCGATCGAGCCATCGGCAACAAGCTCTGTGATTTTAATCATGTTGAGTTACATCAACGCTTTTTTTGCACTGATCCTGTTGTGTTCAAAGCTGGACAATATCGATGGAGCAGCAGTGAAGTCTCGCGGACTCGGACCAGCGAAGCCATGTTCGCCAGACATCTGCAAGCTTCCCGATTGCCGCTGTAGCGGAGTCGACATCCCAGGGAATCTACCGAAAGAGAAAGTCCCCCAGATGGTCATGCTGTCCTTCGACGACGCTGTGAATGGGCAAGTCTATGGCTTTTATGAGACTCTGTTCGCGGATGGCGAGCTGAAGAATCCAAACGGATGTAATGCAACGGCGACCTTCTTCGTCTCGCATGAGTACACCGAGTATCAAATGGTGCAAGCGCTGTACCACAACAGACATGATATAGCAGATCACACAATCTCACACAGGACGCCGACTAGCTGGTGGAAGTCGGCGAACTACAGCCAGCTGACGGACGAAATAGTGGGACAGAGAGAAATTCTGCGGAAATGGGGACAGGTTGAGGTAGAGGACGTGGTGGGATTCCGGGTCCCCTTCCTACAGATCGCTGGTAACACCATGTATCAAGTTCTTTACGATAACAAGTTTCTATACGACTCGTCCATGCCTACTCAGAAATTTATGGATCCGCCGATGTGGCCGTACACCCTAGAATATCAATCAACACAGGAATGTGTTATTCCACCATGTCCGACCGGTGAGTGAGCCGCAAGAAACAATAGCTTAGTAAGGGAGGGAGAGAGGGGATCATTTTTCCACCTTTGAATGGACTTACTGGAAGTTCTTTTCACCTAGTGCCCGTACCTAGGAATCGCGCGGTTATTCATGCCGTCCCGAAGTTTATTCCTAGGATCTGGAATAGAGTCAAAGACCTTTGCAAAGTAACCCAATTATATTTTAACAATAATTCAGACATTCATGGAGCACTTTGTTAGAAATTTAAGACTGCTGAAAGCATATATATCAGGAAAACATTGAATCTGTGAAAGGAATTAATCAGGGCGCTATAAACTATAGATGTGGGACACGTTTCGGGAGTTGTATGAATTTTTTGACATTCCAACCAAAACAAATTTTGGTTGAGTATTTACTGACGAAGTAAGATATGACGGTTGCACTGTGCCATGAGACAGTGTTGTAATAGATTCTTGTAACTGAGGGAATGGGGTCTAAGTTTTTGAATGTTTTTTCATCATCCAAACATTTAGAAATTTAACTAAGCTACATCCCCCTTCATCGCCCCCCCGTCCTCAAACATACACACGCACACGCACTTCCCGCTACATTAGTTAACCTTTCCGCTTTTCTCAGAGAACAGTACCTTACAGGAGGGAGTCATGTAGATACTGGAAAGATTGATAGTTCTTTGTTCTTTCCAGATTCATTCCCAGGTCTCTGGGAGGTCCCTATGATTGATTACAACGATTCACGAGGTATGCCGTGCAATATGATTGACGGCTGTTATCCGCCAACCAACGAACAGGAAGCGTATGATCTCCTGTCCAGCAATTTTGAAAGACACTACACGTCCACCAGCAGGGCACCATTTCCAATGTTCATGCACGCTGTTTGGTTTCAAAAATACCCCTTCACTCTAACTGGTGAGTAATGAAAAGAGAGCATGAAGAGTAAGAGAAGTAACTCCCCATACAGGCCTTATGTCCAAGGTAATCCCTCTCAGGTTATTGTTAGGTATGGTGTCCAGTAATTTTCCAGTGGATAATGTTGCCACACGCGGTTGCCCAGTATGTAACTGCATGTAAATTAGCGTTTAATTTAGGCTGTCCACTTGAGGACAATTCGCGTGACTGTGAGGATTGACTAATTCTTCACCGGCTCCTGGAGGGCGTTGTGGCAACAATTTGAGAGGGATTGCCTTAGGAATAAGTCTTATTTAAGGAATTATTCTCTTAAGCTTCATCATCTCTTTCTTGGTAATGATTAGTTATTGTCACTAAATTAAGTAAAATACTTTTTACTTGAGAGTGGGGAGTTACTAGTATTGCCTTTGGTTAAGTGTCTCCTTAGTAACTGTATAAGAAACAGGCTACTTTCTCTTCCAATCAGAAGTAAAATCAACTCTACTGTAAATTGCTCAGTCACAATTTTTCGGAGGTTAAACCGGCTCTGAGAATGTATCGAACAATGTATCCTGAATTTCATGCTGGCAAAAAAAAATTGAACAGGGAAACGACGAACATTACCAACTGTTCAGCTATAATAATGGCACGCTGAGATGAACTTTGAATAAAACATGTTTCGAAGGTCAAATAAAAAAAATCGCTTTGACGTAAGTTACCGCCATTGTGTGGGTTTAACATCGCGATTCATTATGTTTGTTGTTAATTTTGTAAACCTCAACGACTTCCAGTAAAACCGAAAAGCGACCGATTCCTTGGTAAACTATACATTTTGTTTATTTTCAGCGGTGAAGAAATTCCTGCAGGACATACTCTCTCGTGGAGATGTGTGGATGCTTGGCATTAAACATGTCATCGAGTGGATCAAATCACCCACCAGCCTCGATGATATCGAAAATTTTGCACCGTGGAAATGCAACTCCCCTCCCCCACCCCCTCCGTGTGATACCCCAAACGTCTGTGGCTTCCCTGACGATCCGCACTACCTGTACACCTGTACTCGTCCATGTCCGAAGCATTATCCCTGGGTTGGAAACCCGGATGGAAATTAACGCGTGTACATATCCCGGAAGGATTGATGGATGCCCTTGACAGAGATAAGAATTATCCCGGATGAAATAATTTGTTTTCTTTGTTTGTTTGTTCGTTTAGTAAATTTGTAAGCAATGTGATCATTGTGCTGTAGGAACCAAAGACCGAACTGAGACGTGAAACGTGGTTTTTGTTTTCAATTTAGCATCGAGACCATAATTAATTGAAAGAGTAATAATGGCCGGCAGTGGACTCTCAGTTGTCAGTTACGATTACTGTGCATTCAGTTAAAATCTCAGCTAATTTCTCTTGGATCTACACACAACGATGACTGTTTGTTGTGAAACCTTATTTTATGATAGTGTTCAGGTAAAATTGTCAGAAATCGGGCTCGTTATGATGTACAACGGCCTTTAGGTTTTATCTCAGATCCAGAATTTCAAGTAATCAAACACCTTATTGTAGTTGACAATGTATTTGCAATGCAGGAATAAAAGAAAGTAACAAATTTTTAAATGTCTGTCTTTCATTTGATAACTTTTTTTAAATATAACCCAAATACATCAGTTTGAATAGTCCAGCTTTTCAAAACCGATTTGATCACAGAAATCAAAAGTTTATAGAAACAACAAACAGGCAATTAGGACACAAACAATAGGACATAAATAGAATATAATCACAGACATAAAA